TGTTTGTGGCTTACCCTCCTTGTGAAGATTGTCAATGATTGTCTTCTGGACAACTGTCAGATCAGCAGTCTTCCCCATGATTGTGTAGCCTAGTGAACCAAACTGAGAGACCATTTTGAAGGCTCGGGAAACCTTTGCAGGTTGAGTTGATTAGCTGATTGGCATGTCACCATATTCTAATTTGTTGAGATAGTAAATTGGTGGGTTTTTGTTAAATGTGAGCCAAAATCATCACAATTAAAAGAACCAAAGACTTAAACTACTTCAGTCTGTGTGCATTGAATTTATTTAATACACGAGTTTCACAATTTGAGTTGAATTACTGAAATAAATGAACTTTTCCACGACATTCTAATTTATTGAGTTGCACCTGTATGTAGTTATCCTGAAAATCGACAAAAAGTGCTTTATATAATAAATAAACTCAAATACTTTAGAAATTAAAAGTACTTCACCTCGTTTGATTTTTCTTTTTGTTTTATTGGGTAAATTATTTATTTAGTAAAAACACACTCAACTTTTAGATTAACTGCTCCCAACTGATCGATATTAAATGCAACTTGTAGGTGCAATTAAACTTTAAATAAGGGGTTTCTGAATTATTTTTAAACCTCATGATACTGTTTTACTTCAATCAGTTTATAATATCTAAATATTTTATGTTAAAATATTCTATTCATAATAAATTACATTTACTTTCTTTTAATTTTGTAGGATACTATTAATACTAGTTTTATTGTTTAAACTGCACGTTTTAACCATGCCCACTTATTTACATGTCGCGGTATACACAGAATAAAAAGATCTTTTACGGTTGACATTTTATACCGCAGTAATGATATATACCATCCTACCACCCAGCCCTAAAAGACACAATTCACTTTTAATAGCATCTTGTCTAATACTGTGTGTAAATTATCACACTTTAGTGTCCTAAATTGTACTAAAAACAATGTGTGTTTGTAAATTATCTGTCTGTTGATATGCATATTTGTAGATTATCTGGCTGTATGGTGACAGAGAAAGGCTGTTGTTGTCTAGCCTCGACGCTGAGTTCCAACCCCTCACACCTGAGAGAGCTGGATCTCAGTTACAATCACCCTGGACATTCAGGAGTCAAGATGCTCTCTGATCGACTGAACCATCCAAACTGCAAACTGGAGATACTCAAGTATGTGGACCTAAAATTGTGTTGTTTACAAGTGTATACGCTATAAGGTATAGTATAAAAGCATTCTATTTGATTATTATTTCATTGTGTTTTACCTTGAGCAAGCATATACAATGAATCCAGCAGCCTAATGACTACACAAACATTTTACATACAAAGTTTTTGTGCCAAGAGTTATTTTCCCCCAAAAATGTTGATGTCTGGTTGCTTAGTCCAAACACTGTGTTACCAGATATTACATTACTTTCCACAGAGTTGAAATTATATAGATAATGATTATGCTTATATAGAGATGTCTTATGCTGTCAAGAATTCCTCACAAGTGAATTTCGCTAAAAGATCTGGCTGGACAATTCGTTGGAAGCAACTACCTGAACAATAACAGCATAATACTACGGTTATAATAATACTGTTCATAATACTAACATTGTGCACAGGCAACAAAAAAATTAATGCCTGATTCAATGCTCTTCACTTAATCAGTATAACATAAATTTGTAAATCTTTTGGATTTCAGGACTTTAATTCACCTCCCATTATGTATCTGTTATTCTAAGACCATTTTTACATGCCTTTTTCTGTACTGCTTAGTTTTGACCATGGAGAGTCTTTCAGAATCACACCAGGACTGCGGAAATGTAGGTTCTCTCCCTGACAAGCAAACTGCATGGACATTTATTTTTTTTCAATTCATTATTGTGCTTTTATAACACAAATTCTACAGCAGCCATAGAAGAATAATGCCTTACAATCACAAGCTAAATCCAAACATGACAATATCAAGGACAATGTCTAATGATCATTAGTGACATTATTTATGTTTAATCTCCCTTCAGATGCCTGTGTTCTCACATTTGATCAAAATACAGTAAACACTCATCTCATTCTATCTGAGAACAACAAAAAGGCAACATATTTGGAAGAGGAGCAGCCATATCCTGATCATCCAGAAAGATTTGAGCACTACGAGCAAGTTCTGTGTAGAGAGAGCCTGACTGGACGCTGTTACTGGGAGGCTGAATGGAGTGGCTGGAGTCATATAGCAGTCACATATCGAGGTATCAACAGGAAAGGAGGGAGCGACTGCAGGTTTGGACTCAATGAAAAGTCCTGGAGTCTGGTCTGCTCTGGTAAAAATTACTATGCCAGGCATAATAATGCAAGAACTGACATACCTGCACCCTCATTATGTTCTAACATAATAGGAGTGTATCTAGATCAGCCAGATGGCTCTTTGTCTTTTTACAGTGTTTCCTCTGAAACTGGTCAAATGGTCCACATTTACACCTTCCACTCCACATTTACTGAGCCCCTCTGTGCAGGGTTTGGTGTTGGGGTTGACAGTGGATCTTCAGTGTGTTTATGTTAAATACAGAAGCTGTGAAGCAGGCGTGTCAGACACTCAGACCATGGGCCAAATACAGCTTGTGAAGGAAATAAAATGAGAGTTTAGCTCTAACTCTAATTAAACACCTGAACCAGCTAATCAAGGTCTTCAGGATTACTTGAAAACTAAAGGTACCGTAGGTACTAGAGCAAGTTTGAGCTGAACTCTGCAGGCAGTGGTGGACAGTAACGGAGTAGCTTTACTTCGTTACTACTTGAGTAAATTTTTCAAGTATCTGTACTTTACTGGAGTAGTTTTATTTTGAGTAACTTTTACTTTTACTTCACTACATTCCAAAGCATAAGATCGTACTTTTTACTTCACTACATTTCATAAAACATATCGTTACTCCTTTTAATATATCACGTGCTCCGACAGGCAGAAGCGGTGTCTGATTCATGAACGAACTGATTCTTTTCAATGTGATGTTCAGAACATGGTAACTACAGTAATTATCAAAGTGGGAAGTGATGTCCTCTGGGGGCATTTGGCCAGGGGTGTTTTTACACCACAGACAAGGTTTGAGAAGAAAAAAATCATTATGAAAATATAATTATATTTTCCTTAAAATGTTCATCCTAACTTCAGGCCTTATTCTCATGTCATATATAACTGTGATGTTCTGCAAAACAATAAGCTTTTAAACACTTTTTTCTTACTGGAGAAAATCAGATGTGTACTTTTACTCAAGTACTTGATTTGTGTACTTCGTTCACCACTGCAGGAGTTTTGACAACTGATTACGTAACTCGCTGTACTTGTAATGCGTTACTACCCCCAGCACTGCTTACAGACATCACACTAACATAATAAATAATTAATTTAAGCATATTTTAGCACATAGCACATTTAGCACTTTTTTCAAGTAACTAGTAAAGTAATGCATTATTGTTTTATTAAACAATAAAATATCTTTGTTTTCTCATGTATTGAGTGACAGCTCTCCTGTCCCCGCATGCATTTACTCATCTCACCTGCACAGAAACAGATTCAGCATTCCTCAAAATGAATAAAAACAGTCAAATGCAAACTCAGGACATGAAGCAAACGTGTTAAAGTAAGACAAATATCCTTTATGTATTTAATTCCATTTTATTAAAGGGGTCATATGATGCGATTTCAATTTTTCCTTTCTCTTTGGAGTGTTACAAGCTCTTGGTGCATAAAGAAGATTTGTAAAATATTCTTTATAAAAGTAAGAGCCACACCTACCTAAAACGGCTCGTTCTAACACGCCCCCACATATCCGCTTCGTCATGCCTGGAGCTGATCCGTGCTGGTTGCTGAAGAAATACATCAACTTCGCACTGTGGATCGCCGGATAGGCTTTCACCGTGGACGAAGCGGAGTCCAGCCCGGAGTCGTCACATGTCCTTCCGGACGCTCCTTCGTCGAAATCGTCGGCCGCGCCGTTCTCAATCCCACCTGCCTCTGCTCACTCTAGCCCTCTGGGGCATAACATTTCCGTCTCACGCTTGAGGTATTCGGCCAATCAGAGCACACTTTTCAGATGGATGAGCTTTGTAAAAATCTGCGCGTTTCAGAAAGGCGGGGCATCGAGGAGAAACAATGTATAGTATGTGGAAAATAATGTGTTTTTTTAACCTTAAACCGCATAAACACATTTCATTACACCAAATACACAAAATACTGTTCTTTTTAGCAGCATCATATGACCCCTTTAACTTTGCTGCTGACCTTCAATGATCAACCATACTAATGAATAAAAATGTACATAACATTTGTGGTTTTTCGTTTTTTTCTGAAGAGAGATAAATGGGGCCAAGACGAATGAGAAATAGTAGCGCAAAACTTTCCATAAAAAGTTAAGTAACGTAATTAGTTACTTCTTTTAAGGAAGTAACGCAATATTGTAATTCATTACTTTTAAAAGTAACTTTCCCCAACACTGTCCATAAGTGATGTCACATTATTAAAACAATTTTTTTATTTAAAATGGCTAATTTAAAAGACTTACAGTCTACACTTATATAACAGTCTTTACAGACTGTTATATCCTTATCTGTAAATAACTATGTGTGTGGTAGCTGTATAAGAACTTCAAGCTTGTATTTCCATTTTGCATAACGGGTGACCCTGACAGTAAGCGAGCTAAACATTGTTTAATATATGCACGTCAAACAGAAAGAAAAGTCAGTTACAGTCATTTTAATTAATTGTCAGAGGTTGCATTTAGTTATATATAACTGCAATACTATTGAGGAAAAAATAAGTGTTTTAAAATTACAGAGAAAAGCAATGACATAGTAGTATGTTTTTATGATCAGTTAAGTGAATGTGTGTTCCTGCTGAACGTTTGACCTCTTTAACAGTTTGTGCTCTTGATTTTTTTTTCTTGCATCAATTTCATAATGGTAATGTGTTAACTTCCTGTTCTGATTTAGGTTTAACATTTTTTAAATGTTATGGTGTTCTTATTTCTCTTTTTGCAAGTTTATATTAAAGTCGTGTTGCACCAGTTTGAACTTCTACATTGTATGCATTATATTATTATTTTATTTTAGGAAATTATATTTTAGTCACGTGACATAAAATGTTACCATCATAATTAAGGAAACATGAATGTAGCTCATATAAAATAAAACATAATATATAACTTTATTGGCACATAATAGAACATTTTGCTAAAAATAAATAAATACATCAAATTTCGAAATGTAGTGTATCACAGTTTCTACAAAAATGTTAAGCAGCAAAAACTTTTTTTCAGCATCGACAATCATTTAAATAATAATCTTGTGGTCATAATAACATCGCAATCCAAACGACGATCGTAATAATATCGCAATTAGCGCAAACTTATTGTGATTGGTCCATCCTAACCAGCGTTGAGAAAAGTAACAGTTCTCATATGATACAACTTCAGCAGCGGTAGGGACAATAACTTACGTTTGATTATGGTAAACTTGAATAGACCTTTAATTGAAAATACATATTTAAATGTTACTATTGTATAAGCATTGTTTAGACCCATTTTACCTGATCAGCAAGAGTACGGATTTGGTCTATGGAGACTATTATTATGAAACACGTCTCCCGGAAGCCATTTCAGACAGACTGCAGTGTGTCACAGTTTTACTAACTTCATCATGGCTGATTCTTTGCTTCGCTGGACTGTTGATAAGTTAAATCATAGTTTTGGATTGGAGGCAAGCGATGACATTGTACAGTAAGTACAATTTAATCGAGGATGAATTGTGCGCAAGTCTATCTGTGGTCATTTGTAGAAATGATGTAACGTTAACGTGGACGACGTTACGTTAAGAATGGAATAAATACAACAAGAGAAGGGATAACTTGGTGGGCAAACCTCTTTTGTACAAAATTATCACGTTGGCACATTTTTTTTTTACATACCATTAGTTATACTATGTAAACACCTTGTTACATCATTATGAGATTTAGTCACAAAGTGCCACACTACCACTACCTTACTTTTCAATACTGACCATGGAAAATATATATTAATGTAACAAAATACTGCTAATGTGAAATGTGTAAGAAATGTATGTGGTGGTTAATAAATACACAACTGACTAGATTCTTTGGAGTTTGTGATGGGTGTGTTTGGCCATCTGGGATCCAAACAGAAATGTTGTTTTTGAAAGGGTCTCTGTGAGAATGAGTAGGCATTCTGTTAGAAAAGTCTGTAAAATATCTGTGTTTTCAGGTACATCCTATCTATTGACAATGCTGATGAAATTGTGGAGTATGTTGGAGATCTCTTACAAGGAACAGAGGGAAACAAGGAAGATTTTGTGGATGAGCTGGTGCAGAGATGGCAGAGGTGTCAGATGCAAGCACCTGATGGTCTAGGGGGCGTCCTTAAGAAAGAGGCAATCATGGGTAATTATGGACACCGATGCTTTTAATGTGAATACAGACACTGGTAAGAACTAAGGATAATATTTGAGTTAACACATCTAGATTGTTGTTGTTCAATTTAAACTCTTCTTCTGTGCTAGGTTTCAATAAAAATGTACCTCTTTTCTATTCATCTGTTTTCATGTAAACAATTCATACACGTGTATGTTTATTTTTTGAAAGTTTCCTGAGTTTTAAATCAGAATGTCATAATTGGATGTTCTGGTGAAAAAGTTATCTCTGGTGATGTATCTTCTCCAATCATTTAGCCCACTTAAAAGGCCTGTTCACATCAACACAGATGTTCGGCACAATAAGGCCCAATCCCAATTCTATTTTATACCCCTTCCCCTTCCCCTCCGCCTACCCCTTCCCCTTGTCCCTTGAAACAGAGTGTCAAGGGGTAGGGGTGAAAATATTCCCCTAAGAATTGGGACACCACTACTATACGTCACACGTCATCATACGTCGTCTAGCTCCTACAATGCACACACCTATACTGGTGTGCATTAGAGCCTTTAATTACCATTCTATATTAATGTGCTGCTTCCTGACACACACACACACATATATATCGGAGATCGCACAGCTCACACATCCAGGAGAAAAGATGCAAACATTTCTTTGAGTAACATGCCCGTAAATATGAACTCATGATTGAATGTAACATAAAACAAATGATTACTTTTCGTTAAAATCTTTATTAATGCCAAAAATGCTTACATTTATTTGTCTTTTTGTTCGCTCAGGCAGCCATGTTGCCCCTGAAGCCGGTTTACGCTGAGATAATTCATACCCCTTCGTTTGAAGTGTGGTCCTGAAAAATCTTCGTTTGAAGGGCTGTCTGGCCCTTCCCCTTACCCCTACCCCTCCAACCAAAAGAGAATTGAGACACCCCTACCCCTTCACGTGAACGCGCGAAACGGAGGGGTAGGGGAAAGGGGAAGGGCTAAGGGGTAGAATTGGGATTGGGCCTAATTCAATCCAATGCAATTGGTCTCTTCAGTCTAAAACGGCACATGGGCTGAAAAATGAAAAATGCAATTTCACTCTGACAGTATGTGGTGCTTATGGAAAAGCAGAAATACAGGAGCACACAAAGACAGCAGTATAATGCTATTTGATTATCAAGATGCTAATATTTTTTCTTTAATTGTTATTCTTATGTTTGTCTCAGCATTTGATATGCTTGGACTGTTATTTGTCATAATTGCACTTAATAATGTGTTCAAAATGTTGCAGTAAAACACAAACACATGCACACACTGGGGCATCACTGTGCAACTTT